AAACTGATCAATGATCAGCTGATCGGCTTTTCTGTTCGTTTTTGCACCAGAAAGAGGAAACCAGCGGCTGAACAACAGCAGCACGTTTAAGCTTGATAAGCTGTTGTTAGAATTTATTTAATATTACTTTGTACACCAGGATCTTTTTCTACTTAGCTGACGGCTGGTAACTGTGCAGGGGCGGATCTAGCAAAGTTTAGCCAGGGGGGCTGATAGGGCATGAACAGGGAAAAGGGGGCACAAAGACATACTTTTATTTCTTATTCTCATTTAAAATGTCTAGCTTTTAATAAATAATTATCTGAATCTTACACCCAAAGTTTTAATCTGATGTAAAATGTATAGAAGCCCATTACTGTATATAGTAACTATTAAGTCTAATATACTCTAGTAAGCTAGTACTTTTTCCTTTGGGAAGGTACCATCTGTGCAGTCTGCAATTCTGCTGAAGAAAGATGTTGAATCTATTTAATTATTCTTGAAAAATAATTGATTTCTGCGCATTTTTTTTTCACACTGCATCAAATTAAAGTTGATTATGTTGATTAAGCATCATGAGGTGGTGGGTGGTTCCCTTTTTTTTTGCTGGGAGTTTGCAGCCCTATTAGTTAGGTTGCTTAAGGATGGAGTAGGTTTAAGTTTATTAGATTGACCAGTATTGCTGAACTATGAAATATTTTGGGTGCAGTGTATTTTTATTTTTTTTTTAGCTTTAGTGTTTTATTTTTTTAAAACTTGAGTTTGAACTTATACAAACTTATGCAGCAAGATATACAAAAAAAACAGTTTTATTGATTAAAAAACACACTATATCGGATTCATATCGATATCGGACGATATCCAAATTTATGATATCGGTATCGGTATCGGACATAAAAAAGTGGTATCGTGCCATCTCTAATATATACCAGTCCCTTTACCATTTACTGTTGCATCACAGCAAGAAGGTTCTGGCATGATGAGCAATGTCTGCAGTTGTGTCTAAAGTGATCAAGTTCCAGCAGATCAGGAAATGGTTTTCCTCGTGTATTAGATTCTGTAACATGCCATCAGACAACCTCCACTCAGGTGGTGCTATGCTTTTTACTCAGAGTGGCTTTTCAGCTGCTCTAACACAACCACTGATGTGCTGTTATAGTAGGTGCTGCTGAGAAATCTGTCTCTGCAGAGCACTTCTGAAGCTCTATTATAGAGTAAGTTTCAGGCCATCTCACGGACAAATAACATCGCTTCTGAGTTGCTCAGTTTGGCCAGACAGCCATCTCTGCTTCATAGCTGGCCATGCTGTGTCTAAAGACCCAAGGCTTCAGAAATGATGAGAAACCCTTGACTCGTTCCAGGATTGATGTATGTCTATGGCTTTTGTCATAAAAGTGGGGCATTTAAATCACTCACAGGTAATTCTATGTGCTGTCTTAGTGACAGGAAGTAAGTGGAATCGCTAACAAAATTAACTCTTTTCTATAAATTTATCAAAATATGCTTAAGATGTAAAGTCAAGACCCATGAGGCTGCAGCTCAGCAGTCATCTTCTAAAACAGAGATGAGCCTGCAGTGAACTGGGGAGATGTCCTGCTGAAAGGAATAGGCTTTACTCTTCTACCGTCAATGGGATTATCACCTTAACTGTTTTGAAAAAGAATGTTATCATCGAAGTGGATTGTTCCCTGACATTATTTTTATCAGAAGAAATATTTCAACAGCAAACACGACAACAACGGCTGAGAAATAGACTGAAATATGAAACTAGTGACTTCATATTTCACTGGCAATCAGAGCAACAGTCTTTCTAATAATGCAACCTTTTTGTGTTGTAAACCAGCTGAGAGGACACACAGGACTGATTTAGATTCAGGTTGTCTCATTAACTTGATGTATAACAGGATCCTTTCAAATTTATTGTCTTGCTGTTACAATAAATTTCGATATGACTGAATGCAATGTGCAATTTATAAAATTAATTGCATTTCCTGCATCTCCAAAGAGTGATCTATATATTTTTTTTCTTTAGTGGGGTCGCCATCAAGTCTAAAGGTGGCATATTAGTGGGCGAGGGGCAGGAATAACATTCTGTATTTACAGACATAAAGTCTTTTAGAAAGGAAAGGGTGGTTGAACAATGGTGGATGCCAGATGGCTTTAATGACACTGGCTGCTACCCCCGCTCATCCCAGTCAGCTTTTGGCACATGCTCATCACTCTGACTCCACAAAAGGAGCTAAATGAAGAAGCACCCATCTGGAAGTTCTCATTCATGCAGCTTTAGATAATGGCTGCTACCTGCAGGAAACAGACGAAACCACCATCTTTGTCACTTACTGAATATCACATGTAGTATTATTTTTCATATGCATTTGAGTTACTCTCACTTCCCTTTTGCCATTAAGTACTTTTTTTTTTTTTATTCGTATTTTTTATTACAATAAAATAACTTTTTTTGTATATTTTGCGAAACAAGCGATGAATTGTTGCATCAGTTCAGGGTAAGAAGCTCAATCAGCTTTTCAACTTCACAAACTTTTAGGTTATACTTCTCGACTCTATCTACAAATCTATTTACTTGAGTTAAGAACACTATCTTAAAATAAAAACCTTTCATGTACATTTGGCAGGAATAACACTCAAAATCCACTTTTCACAAGGCAAGGTGCAGTCGTAAAACTATCAAAACACTAAGTCTTCCATACAGGACAGTAGAACAGATAAATGACAATTGTGTGTCTGTATGTACATTTAATAGATTTGAGTTCAAGTCCAGGTGGAAAGATTAATGGAATTTATCTAGCCTGGTTCACAGCTGTGCTTGAATAATAACTTGAAATAGGGCATCACGAGTAATGCTTTATCTTCGACTCTTAAAATTATGATAAGGAATGCATAACAAAAGATTATAGGATGATGAAAGTCCTATTTGAAATTCACACTTTTCCCATTTCAAAGCATTGGCATTATAACAAAGTTGATGTGGCTGTTGAAAGTGGGTCATCACTCATATCTCCATCTCTCTGAATATTAGATAACTTAAAAGCAAAGTAATAAGCTCACAGTGAGCTTATTACATGTTAATGAGCACAGGAAAACTAGTTTGCACCAGTCTGTTTTGGATCATTAATGCAAAGTCTGGTAAGATGGCCGTGGTCGTCCTTAGTATAACCCGCACCAGCAGTGTGAGTTTAAATTAGTTTCAAGATTATTCAGCTATGCTAATAAAGCTGCGAATAGACACTGTGTGATTTTAGCCCACTTCTGGATGTTGGTCTTTTAAACAACAAAAAACTCACAGTAGGTGCTGTTTAAACTTTTGATTTTGGAAGCAATTCATCTTTCTTTCCCCTTAAAAGTATACATAATACTGAAGCAAAAGTACCATTTGGTTAGTGTTGTGCTTATATCCTGCATTTCATAATAATGCAGTTTATGTGCATGCATGACTGTAAAAACTTTTGGCAGGCAGGTGGGTGCCAGTTTGTAGACTGACAGCTTATATAATGACATGTACAACAAGCAAGTGAGTGATTTCTCAGAAATTATTCTATCAGACATTTTTTGTCTGATAACTTTGCAGGGTTGACATTCAGTTCTGCTGTTCTGCTCGTTTTTTTGTTTGTTTTTTTACAATTTGGACCATTATCTCCAACAAAAGACACGAGCAGATACAAATATCAGAACAAAAAAAGAAGGAAAAAAGATAACAGCTCAGTGATCTTACTCAAAATTTCTGTGATATAAATGTAGTAGCAGCTAGGCCCTTCTAGTTAATTTTTGAACAATGAAACATTTTTTTTTCTTAGTTAGGATTTTAAATTAATCCTTTAAGAGTGATTGAAGGGGAGTGACTTTCAGCACAAATTTAAGGAATGTGAGAGAGACATTTTGCATTAACTATTTATTAATTATGGCTAATTTTATATATAATCCTTCATTTTCAGTCTGATTTGGCGAGTTGAAGCGCTTTCCTTCATTATTCCATGAAAAAGTACAAGGTAAAAAACAAAGAACATAACAAATAAACTAACAAAAACGTTAGTAGTAGTAGATTCGATTTTTAAAAAAGTCTTTTGCAGCATTTATTCAAATCAAAACCAAGAACAACCAACTTGGTTAAAAGTAAACGATAACGCTTGCAAAGGCAGTCAACTCATTGTCAAAACCTAGAACGTGCCTGTCAAAAGAACTGGGTAACTAATGCTTCACAGTGCAAATGGATAATGAACCAAACCATACTGCAAAAGTAACACAAGATACAGAAATGGCATATTTTTCAGTGACTAACAGAGCATGCCTGGTTAATGTAGACAAAACTGGAGGCAGAAAGACCACAAGTAGCACAGTGCAGGATGCAGAACGGGAGGAAATACATTTGCCGATGCCCCTCCTTATTTTAAAATTATGCTTTTGCTGTTAGTGTTGAGACTTTGAAATGGGGAACTATGAATAAAAATGGCTGCAATTCATAAATAGTTAATTGTAAATCTTTGTAAAACCCCTTGAAATAAAGCTGAAAGCCTGTAATTCAACCGCATATTGATTGCTTAATACCACTCTGGTGGTACACTCTAAAAACTATTGTTTAAGCTCAACAAAAAAAATTAACGCAACAGTTTCCATTAATCTTTTTGCGTTAAGATAACTTGTGCAGAAATTACGTTGAACCAACAAACTACATTGAGTTAGAGGAATGAACTTTTCCTCTATAAGTAAAGGTAATTTTAATTACCATATACTTAATAATTGGTAACTTAAAAACATGTTTTTAAGTTGTTTACTCAAAAAATTTATGTTCCTCCAACTTCTTTTTCCATATTATTCAAAACTATTTTTTAAGTGTTATGTAATTAATGATAGTAGTTACGAAAACATTATTTTTAAGTTAATCACTTAAAATATTAAGTAGCTGATTTTCTTCATTATCATCATAATTTTAGCTTTTTCTTGTTTTTATTATTGAACTAGCTTTTAAGAATGGAATGAATTCAACATTTTTAAGCAATTAACTTTTTTTATTGTTTGTACAGTTTGTACAATTTATATTTTACTTTAGGCAATTCAACACCTTATATTTAAACAGTGAAAATAAACCAGAAATCCACTTAGAAAACATTTGTACTAAGTGTTCAGTAAATGTTAACTTTCAGTGTTCAAACCTTTATGCAGTAAACACATTTAAGATTAATTTTACACATACAGGACTCAAAATGGTTAACAATTTTTGAAACAGAGTCAACATGTTTAACATAATGCTGGTTCATTCATCAGCACATCTCTTTGAGGATTAAATGCAGGATAAGTGTTAAGGACAGGGTAGTACAACAACTGTCAAGACACATTTCTTGAATATAATATCAAAAATAACTAGATAGAAAACAATTAGTGTCTTCTATTTTTTATCAACACTATCATTTTTTCCCAGTGGACTTCCAAATACAAAGCAACACAATCTGAATAAAATTTCTTAGTGCTCAAAACAAGTGACATCTTTAGAACATACTGTTCTTGAGACTTGTTACTTTTGCACTGGCTCGCAGTCCATCAAGATCAAGCAACAGCTTCTGAAAGACTTCGAAAGTATATTTCAGTTCCTTGCAATAGCTCAGATTGAGAGCATATATTATGCCCATGAGTAACGCACAGCAACTTGGGATATCCGGGCCCTCCAGGATTTTTGTTCCTTCTACCACAATGGTTGCAGTCTTGTGGTCAGATCCAGGGGTATACCGGTCACCGATGATGGCAATTTTCATCACCTGCCTTTCTAGGTTGGCCTCAAATTCTTCTGTGTCCTTGTAAAGCACATTTAAAAAATAGGTTAGTTGATTATAGATTAGACTTTTATCCTTGCTGAATCTTAATAATTCAGAAGATTAGTGCACACACACACACACACACACACACACACACACACACACACTGACCCAAATAGGATGTATCAATAAGCATGAGACAAAATTATGGTATCATAAGACAAATCAATAAAAATACAGCCCATTTTTTGTTTTGATTTTTTTTAACCACACAACATGAACAACATTTTCTATGACCAGTTTGACCTGCTCTACCTAAATCGATTTCTAACATGGGATTTACTTGCTTAATGTGAGGTTCACTTGTGTAGGCCTAAAGACAACATTCTAGTTTGTTTTTAAGAAAACTAAACAACAGTATGCCAGGTTTGGTCATCAATTTAGAATGTAAAACTAAGGAAAACAATAAACTCAAATTGAACATATACATAATTATTAGCTTTGACATATTGGATTAGCTGAAATGATTAAGTGAAACGCTACAATCATTAGTTGAATTGTTCATACAAATTTACACTGTGATCAGTGTGGATTTATTTGTGGTTAAGATGCTGAATTACTTACACCAAACTCCAAGAAAAAGGTCTTCTTCCTTCTCTCCAAGGTATGTGATAAGGCAGCGGATGGCTACTTCTCTGCGCATTTCAATTGTATTGTGCTATTCAAGAAAAAAAAAGATAAAGTATGAGTATAAACTACATGGGTGACTGCCAACAAAGTGCATTTCAAAGATAACACAAAGTGCAACACAAAGTCTAAATAGTTATCATACCTCAAGAAGCATGTCCTTGATCTGCCTGATTCTCACTCCTTTAGCTCCTCCCCTTGATGAAACGACATCCATCAGTTTTGGGGTGCAATGGTCAAGTTTAGCCATAAACGTGGATTCCAGGCTTACAGTGGTTATTCTCTTGAACTCTTCCTTTATCTGTAGATGACACAAACAGAAGAATTAATCCTTGCAGAAAATTAGCTATATTGCATTAATGAATGTTCTAATACATTAGTTAAAGAGGAACAACTAAATCTGTATGAACCACAATAGTAAAATGGACAACATCAAAATGGCCCACTATTACTGATTGTTTTTTTCCCCATACTCTTTAAATGAGTCACTTGTGAAAAGCTGGACCAGTTAAATACTCTGTTATAGGAAACTGCAACCATTATTCCAAGCAAATGTCAGACTTCACCAAAATTATCTTTAAAAGAAACCTGTTGTTTTTAAAGCATTTAAGATAAACTTGCTTTAAACTGATAATCCATCACATTCATCATTTAATTTTTTTAAATTTTATTCTGTACTGTTTGAGTCATGTTTCTGCTTATTTACTGTTGCATTCAAAAATATTTGTGTATGAGAATGTTTATTTTTTTACTTTGTGCATTAGGATTAAGATTGTAATCAGAAAATCAAATATAGAACATATGGGGAGTCATATGAGTGTATTATGTATGAAATGTAAGAGAAAAATTTTTGGTACCTGTGTCGCATCAAATAATGCAGGCCAACGCTCCATGAAGTTCCTGATAGCGGGTGCCTCATATACGATTTCTTGCCTGCGAAGAGAGAATGTCTTACCCATTTTCCCTGCAATCACCTGGCAATTATCCCTTTTCGTCACTTCACACAAGAGGTCCACTCTTTCCTTCTCCAAACTTCCACTTGTTTCCCCTTGAGGATGTGGAGGTAGGTAATTTACTTCAGCCTTTTTAGGCTTTTTAACATTTTTAGCAGGAGCCTGCTCATGTGCTGGTTTCCTCTTGAGTGAGTTCACCACAATTTCGGGGCAGCCAGTACCTCGAAGTTTGGATCTGAAGTTGTTCATTTTATATTTGAGGCGCTGAATCCATCCATAACATCCATGAAAAGAACCTGGTTCTTTGAGGCAGGGATGTTTTTTAGTCAAGGTCTCTGCTACTTGACTTAGTTGTGCACTTGATGGATAAGCAGTGTACTCAAAAATAGCCTCAGCTAAACTTCCAAGGATGTCTGGAAGTAGTGTGATGAGATCTTTAGTACCAAAAACAGTCCCAGAACAAATGAAGTTTTGATTGCCGGACTGCAGCAGAATCTCCGTACTGGTAGAGAAACGAGGGATTGGAAATTCTATGGGCCATCCATTTGATCGCTGGACTGGTATTTCTGTCTCTAATTCTGAAGAGACAGGCAATGTGTCATGTGACAATGCAGATGAGCAGGCATCATCAGAAAATTGAAGAGGATCATCAGCAAGGCTTGTAAAGGATCTGTCTACATCTGTTAAGGTCAGAGTTACTGTAGGAGGTTCCTGGATATAGATCACCTTGATAGTGTCCTTATCCTTAATGTCAGTTGTTGAAAGCAAGGAGAAAAACTCATTACCAAAATCAGCATCCTTGTAATGCAAACAGAAATCCCCAGAAATCCTAAATGTATCTTGAACAACTGAATGAAGTTCCTCAACTGTTCCAGGGATTCCAGATGGTAATGCCAGTTTCTTGACATCATGTTCTGAAAGAATCACTCGTAGATGGGCTGGTTGTGACATCTGTAATAATAAAAAAAAAGGTTTAAAATGTTTCAATGAGCACCATAACAATGAAGGTAAGTAAAAAATGCACAATAGCGTTTCCCACAGAGTAGGCTTCACAAAATACCAGGCCAACACCAAACTCTATTCCTTCTAATTTTTCTCAATCTGTTTTAAATGAAAACATGAAGACTACATTATAACAACGTCAACAACAACAATAACATACTATGTTCTTGCACTTTATTTGCATCTTGTACCCACATCTTAATGTAATGTCAGGCTGATCATCATATAAAAGTTGCAAATGAGAAAACCCTGTTACTGTCTTTTTGTTCTGGACTTTTGTTGACTTCCAAATTTGACAAGTCAAGGCTATGTTGGCATTCTATGGGACATAAATGTAACGTTTCAGGGTTACAATGCTTTTTCCACCAAGCATGTAAGGTGTTAAGGGGAAGATATCAGACAGCTCTGATGGCTCTAGCACTTTCACAGTGTGTGTTTTCTCAAGAACATAGCTCCTGAGATGCTCAATTGACCAAGCACTTAAGCATTTAACAATGAATACAAGCATGCCCTTCAAAACAACTATTTGGATCAACTCTCCAAAATCTGTCACACCACCTGTCGAGCCATTAGCCAAAATCATGCCAACTGCATACTTTGTGCCGCTATAACATACATTGTTGGCTATCTGAATGCGTGTTTCACCAGCAAATTTAGCATGCAGTGCTTCCTTGATGTCTTCTCTTAGCACAGTAACATCTACAGTAGACAGTTGTGTAGCCTGCAAGACAGGTTTTCACAGCACTGGGATCATGCTGGTTGTATGCCATCATCAACTGATGTTTCATGGACAGTGACAGTAGAATATTTCGAAAGCTGTGAGTGTGCCTAACAACACGCTTAAAAAAGCTGTGTTTGGCCTCAAACCGCATGGTCCAAAGCAACACAAGTGGACCATAGGCCCTGATCAGCTGTGGATAATGCTCCAGGTAGTGATGTTTGGGGATTAATTTTTCATGTGGGAAAACCTGGAGAAACCTGTGTCTGTGTTCAGAGATCTTGCTGTCTAGGTAACAGATACTCTCCTCTGTGTGAACATGACTTACAACAAGCTCAGCTATGTCCTTCAGTACTAGAAGTACTTCCCAAGCTGGTTCACCCTCAGGGATTTTTGATCCAATTATGAGGGGTAGGAACCGCAGCAATGACCAGTTTTCATGGGCATTCCCTCCAACACTTTTCTTTGCTGCAAAATTCAGAGACACCTGTTGTGGAGCATCAGTCTTGTCTGACCATTTGTAGGGGAATGTTTTGATGTTTTTGTTGAGTTCATCAAGAGTGAAGTATTTACTCTTAATGAACACTTGAAGACACAGAGCCAGCTCACGAGGGACTATACCTTCAAACAGATCGTGCAACAAATCAGGTGGGTATCCTGTCAAAACATTGAAGTACTTCAGATTCTCTGTAAGTGCACACTGTCTCTTGACTCCACATACATGTGTCAAAGCAGGGTTCTCCTGCACATTCTGGATGTGCATTTCATGCTGTTCTGTGATTCTGGGTTGAAATGCGCCTGTTCTTACTTCTGACACCTGAAACTCTGACTGCTCAGCCAGACAAAATCTACAAAAGTAAGAACTGCAGAAGTTTTCTACAAATCCTCCCACAGAATGGGCTCCAAGATTATCTGCAACAATACTAAACACTGTTCCTTTAACTTTTCTGCCTAATGCTGGGACATACAGGCCCTCCTCCTCCAAGCTCACAAGGTCTTTCAGCAGTGGCTCCAGTACAGTACTGTAACCAAATCTTTTCACATCATCAGCCTTGCAGAGAATTGCTAAGAAGATGGAGGTCAGTGAAGATCTGAGCTGTGCAGGAATATCAGCTATCACCCAGTACACAGCAGTGACTTTGTGTTTTTTCCTTGACGTACCCAAGGGATTGCATATTTCAAAGTCATCAATATACAGAATAATAGCAATGGTAGGATCTTCTCCAGAAAACAACTCATTTGTTTTATAATAAATGCCATCACAAAATGCCCTGTACTGTGTTCCATCTTTACCTTGAGGTTTTTCATCATGCAAGATCAAATCCTGGATCTCTTTCCGTGTCATAGCCTGAAGCAATGACTTCAGAATAGGAACATACTGGAAGCTTCTGTCTTCCTCCCTACTAAGTGCATACTCCACTGGTTCCACTACAGCAAACTGCTCCCTAAAATATGCCCTTCTCTTGTAGGCAGAAGAAAGTGAACCACCACTACACAAGGTGGAGGTAAAGGGGTTGGCCTCACAAAGCTCTGTCACCATATCTGACACAACAGATTCATCTATCTCACAATTGTTCTTCCTCAGACAGGACTGTAAAATCTCTTTTATGAGGGGGCCTGATGCTGTTTCGGTGATAAAGTGTAATTCCTCAATAATCTCATCAATACACTTGTTAGATACATTAAATTTGCTCTCCAGTTTTAGAAACAACAATGCCATGTTTTTTTCAATGATATTTGGTAGATCTCTCACATCATCATCGTTACCTTGACCATCATTGGTAATCGATAATTCCTCATCCTGAACATCCATATTACTACAATCTTCTGTATTTGAATAACACACATACCTTTTTAACAGGTTTTCCTTGAAGTCTTGCAGTGAATGAGGAGTATGCCTTCGGCTTCTGTGGGAGGCAAATGTTCCATAAACATTAGTGCTGAAATTGCAGTTTTTAAATACACAAATGACCGTTTCGTGTTTTTTCAAATGTCGACCAAGGTGCTCGAAAAACAGTTTTTCTGTGGAGATTGCACTGGTGCTACAACTCTGGCAAGTGAAAGACAGAGTTTCTGCAGATCTGACTCGTTCCTGAGTTTCCTGAGAGTGATTTCTTGATAGATGTGATCTAAGGCTACCCCAAGTTTTGAAGGAACAAAAACAATCTTGGTGAGGACATGGGAGACATCCCCCTCCATAACTATGGCGTAATCTATAATGTTTTAGCAGCCCTGTTTTTGTAGTGGTTACAAATTTACACAATTTGCACACCCAGCCCATTTTGTAAAAATGTGTACTAACTTAACAAACTACTAATGACCCTAGATAATCATACTATGTACAAACTGCTTACGTAAAGTCTTAATGTCAAGTAGGTTTACATAACCTATGCCAGAATGATGCTGTCGGAATCACATTAACAATATTTCACACAACCTGTGTTAGAAAAAGTAATAAAGCTAGATACAACTTTAAAGATCAAGAACAATACTTACTTTAAGCTGTATCACAATAGTAACCACAATAAAATGTAATATTATTTAAGGCGTCTCGTTATGCAAGTTTTATAAAGACATAAAATAAGTGAGCCAGACAGAAAAAAAAGGTTTATATGGTTATCCCTCTGACAAAGTTATTCACAGCTTAAAGGCTTCCAATTTTTAAAAAAAGTCAGCCTAAAAAAAGTCACAATTTCTGATCAAAATTAGATTGCATTGTGTAGCAAAACTTCAACCATGCTTTTCCTAGCTACAGCAACACTATCTAGCTAAAGACTTTTGTCAAATGAAACTTTATAAGTCTTAACCACTCCTGTGCTAAAGTTTAGAATGGCTAGCATTAGCTACATGTGGTAGTGCAAAATATTTCCTCAAGTGTATCAGCATAACATCACACACAAATCCACCAATGTGACTAGCACAAATCCTTTGCTTTAGTAGAACTGTTATTTGTAAATTAAATGTTACTTACCTTGAAATTTCTTTTACATAAGCTTGCAAGTCCGCCATGCAAGCACAGTCTTAATATGTGAATTTGCCCGGGCACGTTAAGTGAGTAGGGGAGGGAACTTGAAATCAGAAGTTACAATGGAGAAAAAATAAGTTATCTATTCAATTTCTTTGAGTAATTGCAACTTGAATTTTGTTTTGGACACATTAATATTGGGATTTAATTTCATATTACATACAAAATTAATTTGATGTAATTACCAAAATTATTAATTCATCACAACCCCAAAAATAAAGTTTGCAACTTAGAAGATCTATCTTAATCAGTAAATTTGAATTTTTATCTTGCAACCATGGATTTAATCAAGTGGTGGTAAAAGGCCTGATGAATTACTTTTTAGAGTGTATATAGAGGCAAACTTACAAAGAACAAAAATATTTAAATACAAGTTCTAACTATTTTGTTTGTTTATTTCATATCCAAAGCATTGTTATTAAATACCTGTCTCACGTATTTCCTCTAAATTATACATGATGATGTGAAATCTGCAGCAGAGAAAAATCTAAGCAATTCAAGACACATAACTGAAAACATGTAACAATTTTCACTCTGCCTTTTGGGAATAATAAAGTGAGTGTCCATCAGGCTTCAAACTGTGATACACACCAGGTCTTTTGGGTGACTATCAAAACTAGACTGAAATGATAGTGTGTATATATTTTCTATTGATGTAGAATCCTGTTTCTATGCTGGAGAACCAGCGCCTGTGGTAGTATTGTGGTTTATTCATAGATGACAGCAAAAGGAAAGTACAATGCAAAATCAACAGCCAGTCTATCCATCCATCCATCCATCCTGCTTCATCTCAGTTGATTTCATGGTTGTGAATTACACATAATGCTATTCAGTCCAACTGGGATAAGAATATACTGTGTGTTCACAATGAATATTTCCAGGAAGTGCAAAAGCTATTACTGTGAGAAGTCAATGTCCCTTCTCTATGTCCCTTCTTCATTAATAAAATACAAGTTTTCTCAAGAACCATTACACTCATAACCAACTATGACGTGTCAGATGATCATCTGACACGTGATAAGTAGCTGGAGCCAGCCTTAGTCTAGTTGATATTTTGAACTGTCTTAATTGTTTTTTTTTCTCCAAAAGACCAGTCACAGCAGGTAGCTGCTTATATGAGACAGAGTGTTTTTTCTCAATCACTTGAGTGCAATTGTCACATGAGAAACGTCATTATCACTACTCTTGATGCAGTTCTCAAAGCAAGAATTAGCTTTTCTCTGTCATTTTTTTACACACACACACACACACACACACACACACACTTCTATTTGTTATTTTATGTTGATTCACTTCTCACTTGACTCTTACAGCTTTTCAAATCAGTTTTTAGCGTCGTCAGTCACAAATCTAGATTGCTCACTTGCCTGATTACTGTCCAGCATTGCGCCATTATGACGTGAGCATAGAACAGTTGCTACAAATTTGTCAGCTGCTCATTGTCTACATACCAAATTCCTCTGCTGGACTGAGATCTGGTGACTGTGAGGGTCACTGGAGAATAGCAATTTTTCAATCTTCTATTGACCAATTTTGGTGAGTCTATGTGAGTGTAGCTTCCTGTTGTTAGCTGAGAGGAGTGGCAACAGGTGTGGGTTCTGCTGCTGCAGTCCATCTGCATCAAGGTCTGAGGGGTTTTGAGATCAAAGATGCTCGGATTCATGCCTTTTTATAATGAGTGGTTGACTGAGTTACTGTTAACTTTCTATCAGCTTGAAGTAGTCTGGGCATTTGTCTCTGACCTTTGACATCTACAAGTTTTTGTCACCCGGAGAAAAGTGGATATTTCCTCACTTTAGACAATTCTCTAAAAACTCTAAAGATGGTTTCATGGGGAAATCCAAGTAGATCAGCAGTTTCTGAAATCAGTTAAGCCTGTCTGACACCAACAACCATGCCACTCTTTCATCATTATTCTTTCTGATGCTACTTATGAACTTCAGCAGGCTATCTGACTATCTCTACATGCCTTAATCCTTTGAGTTGCTGACATGTAATTGGCCAGTCAGATGTTTGCTTTAACAACCCATATGGAAAAGAAATAGTAAAAACATATATGATTTACTCATGAAAGTGGCCACTTTCTCATTACTTTCATATAATTTTTAGTAAGTATACAAAACATACAAGTTGCATTGTATAATTTTTCAAGGGATCTTATATGTGTTTTCACTCTTGTATTCTTTTCATACAAGTTTCATACAAGACAGATAAAAACTTTATAAGATTTGTATATATATTTTCCATATGGGAAGCAATAGGCATACCTAATACACCATATAAAAAAGTGCTTGCTCAATCTATGTACTTTACAGTATCTGGCGCAATGCTCTAAGATTGTGCATATTTTCTTTGTCTCTTTCTGACACATACAGACTCACAAGTGTCATTTCATTTTCCCCAATTTCAACAATTTTATAAGGTTACAAATTAATTTGTTGTGTTTCTTTTTTTCTTTTCTTTTTTTTTTTTGTCTCTGAACACTTTTTTCTTTCCAAAGTCTGTGAAGTTCTGATAAGTGTCTTAAAACATAATATAACAGGTTTTGTTCAATGATCACAAAGTTGAAGTGACTGACATGTTTTGTCAAAACTCGTTTGCACAGGTAGGTCTTTGTTATAAAAAATGCCTTAACTGTTTTAAAAACTGCATTAAGAGTGGTGACAATGTCAATCCTGATATGAGCGCACAGATCCTTTAAAATATAGTAATTACCTTTAAACCATTAAAGGACACTTTTTTACCTGGGTATGATTTGGTTTCTTTATAACAGTAAAAATTTAACACTTTCTTTGATTTTTGTGATTCTTATTGTAAAAACCAAATAACCAACATTGTTAAATGTGTCTTGTTCATAAAAACATTAATGAACTATAAACAGGATAAAATGTTTTTGTAACAACAAATTCAGTTATGATAAGCAATTCCAACACAATGGAGCTTTACAGCTAATAAAGCTTTGGACTCTAAAGGTTTGTGATATCCTTTTTTACATGGATTTCAGACACAAATGTGTGAGTTCAACTGGATTTTAACATTCTGTGTTGGTGGTACTGCCCATCATCATTTGTCAGACACGTCTTGAATCTAAAATGGAACCAGAGTGTTGCTTTAGATGGTCTTTCTCACTCACTGTCATGAATGTAAAATGATCCAATTATATCAAACATACCAAATGTCATCAAAGGTCAGTATTTTATAATAATATAAATTATTATATTTAATATATTAAAAGTATAATGCATATTTGTCATTTCAATCTGAACTGTGATTAAATCTAATGATTAAATTAGTGATGTGTGAAGTTCTGATAACAGTTCTGTTATAAATTGCTTCCTGAACTCGGAACTGAACCTGACATTAATTTCATAATAACTTTCATAATATAGTGTGCAGAAGTATGTGTACGTATGTATGTATTTTTTTAAGAGGATGTCCAGGTTCATGTGTATTGAAAGCGACTTATTGAGTCACAATGTTTTAGAAGAAATGGTTAAAAGCCAAAACATCATAGTTTGAGATACTGTGAGGAGACGCGTGTGAGTGGGCAAACAAATCAGAAATTTAAAGGTATTCTCACAGAATATTACTCACTCAAATCATGAAACTTCAAACTACCGAAGCCATCATAGAATTAACTGAGTCAATTTCAGTGCAGAGTGCAACTGGATCTTTTTCGCAACAAAACAATATGCTCACAAGAGACAAAAGAAGAGCTTTAGGACCATTTCTAAATCTCACCATTTGGTTAATCCAGGATAGGTCTTCCAACAGTTCCATAATAGAGAAACAACAACGCAACTTTAAAACAACCCTATTTTCATCTCTACTATTGATACAGCTGAAAAAAATGTGTTAAGCTGTCATAAATAATTATTTTCAAGTGCATTTATTGTGGAAGTATTAAATCAAACATCACTGAAATTAAATATAGGAAAGGAAAACAGCAAAACAGAGGCAAGTTCAAGTCAACAAAGAAGGCTTATATAGAAGATATACACATTTTTAAAAGATAGGTATCAATATACATCAAATTATATTTGAGCAGTTCACTTTTGTAATTCATTTCATCAATTGTAAGCCTGTCTCCAAAATGACATGAACTGTTTTTAGAATTACATTTGGGTGCAACAGAACTACTGGCTAGGCAAAATCCAATAATGTTACATATTTAGTTTAGAGTATTATAAAAAGCACCAGAGTTGAGTCAGCAGGAACCGAAATGCATGGTAGTTCAAAGTTCAAATCACCTTGATTTTTTTCATTGTGATAAAGATTAATGATGATTAAATGGTTCCTATTATTGTACAATTAAAAAACTATAAGCTTTAGAAGCTGATATACAATTGAGAAATATTACAAAAATGTGTTTTCTATTAAAACCTAACTATATACACATTCGCATTTACATTTAGTATTTACATGTGGAGTTCTTTAAATGATTATATGTTCACCTTTTCAAAATTGTTCAAATAATTTCTTAAATCCAAAATCTGTGGTGTTCTCACATTTACCTCAGACTTGCTGACTAACTGGTAACTTTAGTCAGATGTGAGCCGGAACAAGGAAGCTGTGTTGTCGACTGTGGCGAGAGAAAAGGTGCTCCTTTAGAAAGGTTTCTCTCTCAATCCTGCTGTTTCTTTTGAATGATCCTCTACCACTGTGGTTTGTTAAGGCATGACAGCTCCTGGAGGCTGTTTATAACACCAGGTTTTGGCCACAATGCAAGTAAATTTTCATGGATTTTGTTCTGATCCTGAATTATTACTTTTATTACTGACCTCTGTAAAAACATGACCTGATCCTGTTGTTTGCATTTGCATTTAGTGAGCTTAATAAAGCCCACATTGCAACATAGTTTGAAATGGTTTATTCTACAATAAAAAACAAAAAAAGAAAAACTGTTGCAGTACAGTCTGTCAATATCTTTTGATGTAGACAGACAGAAGTCTTTTAAGATAACTGTTCAGGGGTTTGGTTTAGTGTATTGCTGAAAAGATCTGAATGTGACAAATCAAAGCAAAAGATGGAGATGATCCTTTGTGGTAGAGAAAGCCAGCAGCTTATTGTGTTATTCTACTATTATGCTGGCACAACACCCACACAAGCATAGTCCTTTATTCTGCATAAAAATTGGCAATGACTGAGCTAACAAAACATCAACATTCTCTCTGCTGAGTCTAACCTGCTTTGCTATTTAAACCTGATCATTCTTCTGCAAAGTAAAACCATCCAGAGTTTAATGTAGCCTAGTGGCACAATGTTTCGCATGATAGCAAAAATGCCCTGTTGTTATGGCAGCAAGGCTAGTAGTTCTATCAGAAGTACAGAGTAGAAATGGAGAAAGCTATACCTACTGCAAAAAGAATGAACCACAAGGTCATACGCCACAGTAAGGCAAGGCAAGGCAAGGCAAGTTTATTTGTATAGCACAATTCAACAACAAGGTGATTCAAAGTGCTTTACAGAGACATTAGAAACAAAAACAAATAAAATATATAAGGAGCATAAAAGCTGAATGCAGCTTCTCCGTGTCTGGTTCTGACTCTGGGAACTGATAAAAGAC